AGGGTGCAACCAGTCGGTTGGTTATTCGAGATATCTCTCTCTGAACTAAATTTATAGAAAAAGCAATTTACTGCAATGTTAGCTCATTCCAATGCCAAAGCTAAGCATACATCCTGGCATGTAGCTATCTCTCCCATGATATTTTGGAATAATGTTAGAGTGTCAACGATGAGTAGCTATGCAAGCGAACGGCCCGTGTGAGCAGCATTACACTATTATGAAACTAGTCCCGATACCTGTTACCATCAAAGAGAAGACAACAAGAAGTGAACACTTACCGTCATCATCGGAAATCCCACTCTTGACAAGCCTTCGAGTCAGTTCGCGAGCAACTTCTTTGAATATGGCCTTAAGAAAGGAAAAAGGCGGTGGACTTCATAATTTTAAAACTAACCTACTGTGTAGGCAAATTAGTATCAAAGTTACGCCTTACAAAATGGCTGATTACATTAAATAGGTCATCTATATGAAAGGTGAGACAAAATAATACCAACTTTGACAGTGAGTGAAACCTGACACATTCAGTTTACCATATGTTGGATACAGCTACAGTCTATTTTTAATTTCGCATATAGCTTAAAATAAAAAACAAAGAAAGTGAGACGACTTAACTGATAAGGCACGAGATAATGAATCATACCTTGTCTTTGAAGGCACCCAGAGAGTAGTATCGGGAAAGGGAACGGACTACAACGTTGGCGATGAAGCTGGTCTTCAAGCGCGTTTCCTCAGACTAGCGAAGGCATAGAAAAGAAGTCAGTGGAAGGTAAAAATGATGACGGGTTGGTGTCTAAAAAGACTTACGTATTCCCAACCTGCTGAGTGGTGCGACGTTGTTCTACTTCCATGTTGTCGAACGTGAGAGGAAGATTGGCTCGAGCTCTGGGGCAAGCAAGGGCTCTGACAGATCAAATGGGAAAAAAGTAGGCAGGGATGAGTAAAACCTTTCAGAGCGTTCCGTGTTTGGGACAAAGGTGGGACTCGAAAAAAATACGATCAAATCGCGACCGAAATAAGGACCTAGAAGAACTTTTCAAAAACTCACAACGAAGGTTTAAATTTTCATCTTC